CCGCGTCGCGGATACTATGAGATCCAGGTCTAGCTCGAAGATATCCTCTGCTTCGAACACACCAGCTACGATGCCTGACTCCGTAAGCAAACGTAATAGATCTTTGACTGCCACCAACTTGTTCGCCGTTTTCGTTGGTGCTCTCACCGGTTCCCTTGGATATAGTGTCGAAGAAGCGATAATGAGCCGGTATACAAGTATATGTAGTTCGAAGTAGATTATCGAGGCTATCGCTTTAGGTCTGAGCCCACATCGCATGAGTGATCCAATCGATGCTGTGCTATTTTACATGTCCTAACGTTGCACCATCTCTACGGTGAAAGCAGAAAACTCCGGTATCGGGTATGTAAAAGCGCCCGCCGATATCAGATTGCTATTAAATCAGTAGAACTCTTGTGTTTTTAAAGGAAATTCTTTGGTTTCATGTAATTCGCACATGTGATCGTTCCTCAATACTAAAGAACTGTACAGTGAGCTCCCGGGATGGGAAATACGTTGATCGCAATTTCGTTTCTCGTGAGTACCGGCACACTCCTTTCACGACCAGCTACTGTATCGACGCTAGCTGTACTACTTGAAGTACTTATTGTACGCCGAACGGTGGTCGTCGCCGTGGTCTGAAGCGTCTTCAATCGAGCTTCCAGCTGAGAAACGTAGCGAATATTTTTGAGTCGTCAGCTCACGACATTTTTCGCCTTGAAACCAGCTGTCACAGCTTGCAAGACAGCCACATACCGCATGACATACAATTTTTGCGTGGTCAACAATCTGTAGCCCAGAATCTAAAGTGGAACAAACAACCAAACTCACGCGAGTGCGTCATATAACGTGCTTTTCGTAAAGGAGTTCTGCGCAACAACCGCCGACCGCCTGTACAGGATCGTAAAACGCGGGCTCGTCGTGCAGTACACATACTGTACGAACAACTATTAAAGCTCAAACGCTCTGAATGTTAAGATCTCATCGACATGCCTTGAAACCACGCAATGCGTGTACTTATTTAATAACATAATTAATATTTGTAGTATATGTATACCTTACACATATCCTAAGATCTTATATGGCGGAGTTTGCATCAATAGGGTGAGCGGTTATCCATATTACCGGTACGCTAACGGTTTAATACGTGTGTAAACGCTCTCCAGACACAACTCATTTATTATACGCAGACCCCCTCAAGGACGTATCTTACTTTTATCAGCCGATCTAATACTGGAGGAGCCTAGCTTGCCCACAGCAAGTCGAAGGGCTGCGGCCTAAATTGATGAAGCAACAGTGTTCACATGGCAAGAATAACAAAGATATCTGTAGTGTGTTCTGAAACAACAGCAGATGAAAAAGGCCCAATCTCTTGCACACGTCAGGAGGCCGTCTTCGGAGCTCGTGTGGCTGGAAACGCGGCGGGGCCAAAAGCTGTCTTCGACTCTGTCAGCTTGCTCTCATTCTCGCTAGAACATCATCCGTTCTGGTGCATTATAACTGTAAATTGTTTTTGTTTTTCACTGAGCATTATTATAAATCTAATTTACATCATAAGCTTAATTATATAAAAATACTACACGCAACAAAGAAATCTCAGCGACTTTGTTAATGAACGTATGACACGAATCTGTTGTGCTTTATACTGTATCGTACAGTGTATTGCATTGAGGATGCCAGCCAAAAACGCTAAGAATGCTCTACTATTATATACTGCAGTATCTGAAGAGCACTGTATCGCTTCATCTCGACATTACTTCATCTTAGTACGAGAATGACTTGATTTGTTCGATCACTCCTGCTGCTATCCGATAACTGCATTCATCAAATGCGAAATTCCGGTTAAAACAGCAAACGTTTTCTTCGCCACTTGGAGTGACCACATGGATAGAGGCGACCTCGCAGATAGCAAGTCGTTCTGTTGTCGCCATTAAGCGTTGAGGTCGAGCTCCACCGTATGGACTTATAGCAGAGCTCGATGCCGTACAAACCAGACCACACACGTCTAACATTTTTGCGGTGACACACCTAGCTTCAGTATTCAATTGTCCGCCATGGCCCCAAGTCTTCTATCGAGCTTCTCTGCGGTCGTTCTCGCAACCACCTTGGCGACTGTGCCATTTGAGGCAGCGTCCACTAACAGCAGCGCCTCGCACGCACCGTTCGGAACTATTACGTCTAAGCCTGGCGAGTGCGTTGTCGGCAATCCCAACACGTATGTTTCTGCTGCTGACCTAACGTGGATCTGGAACAACCGCATGAAGAAAGATGTGGAGCCGTACAACAACTGGATCATGGACCACCTCGTCAAGAACAAAGGCTCTATCAACTACTACATCCGTTGGGATAGTAACAAGAAATTAACCAAGGAGATCGCTGCCAAGCTCCAGCCTATGTTGACCCGTCAACACGCGGCTTGGAACCGCTGGCTCATCGGCTATGATTGCTGGCCGTACAACGAGATCAAGGTCAACGTCGTGGGGATTGCCGTCAAGGACAAGTCGGTATTGGGCTGGAACGACGACTCACTCGGCAAGATTTACGTCGGTGACCTTGACGATGAGGGCTCTCCGCAGTGTCCCGAGAACTGCTACCGTGCTGCGGACAGCTACTCTGGCAAGTGGTCCGAGTCGAGTGGATGTGACGGCAAGCCATTCGACATTTCACTGTGGCCGACGCAAGGACTCGGTGGAGGCTGGGGAACGTACTGGGGCCAGCAAGTGGATCTTGACGACATGTTGAAGTACCTTGATGATGAAGAGCTCGAGATTGTCTCACACGAAATGGGCCACGGCTTCGGACTCGTGGACTTCTACCAGCAGCCCAAACCTGATAACTTCAAGCCTTGTATCATGGATGCCTTCACCTCCTCGTCTGTGAAGGACACGGACGGCTGGTTGCTGCGTCGCGTGTTGGAGAGCAAGAAGAAAAACTATGATTTTTAGGTTTGCTACAGAGCTTCCGTAACTTTCAGTAGATCATGTTGCTGAGGCATAGCGAAGTTCTAGATTCATGTAGGTCGTTTAAAATAATAAACTGAAGTGGGTGTTTTCTTTTACTAATCGTTAAAATATTGTAAGGGAAGCGAATAATCCATAAACCTTTGCACGGCGAAGGTGTGCGTACACAGAAGATATTGTTCGTGACGAAGCTTGCTGAGCCCGAGCGCACCACTGGAAACGACGACTGTAAGAAACCTGGTTCTTTTAAAATTCGCATTCACTGCACAGTGCAGGGCAATAATGCTGTCAGCATGGAAACTTTCTACCAGGAAATGGTCATCATATCATAAAATCGACTTCGCACTGCCTTTCCGTGTTGCTGGTTGCGATGCAAGTTAAGAATCATGTGTCGCTGACAATGCCACAGCGGGCCGTTCGTGATGAAATTTACTTAACTACACCTGTATGTGCAACTTGACAATCGATCGACCATTCCGCTGGCCGTGCTGTAAGTAATAGCGTGGCCTCCACAAAAAAATCCGCGCCATATCGAATTGATTCGTACTCGTGACAGTGTACTCAACATGACTATCACGATCACGCAAGATCTGTCACCGATTGAGTCAAAAGCACTCGTACATGGATCTCTGTTGTGTTCACTCTTCGTTTGCCAGTTATGACCCCAAGTCTTCGTTCAAGCATCTTTACAGTCGCTCTCGCTTCGGCACTGATCGTCGCGCACAGTGAAGCCGCAACAAATGTCACTCACGCCCCGTTTGGAACCATCACGTGCAAGTCTGGAGAGTGTGTCATTGGCGATCCCGACTCGTACATATCTCCCAAGGACCTCCAATGGATCTGGGATAACCGTCTGAAGCACGACGCAACGACTTACAGCAACTGGATCATCGATGACCTCGTGGCCAACAATGGAGCCATCAACTACTGCGTCCGCTGGGATAGCACCACCACCCCACTGACCAAAGAGGTCGCAGCGAAGCTTGAGCCCATGTTGGCTCGTCAACACGCCGCGTGGAATCGCTGGTTGATTGGATACGATTGCTGGCCATTCGACGAGATCAAGGTTAAAGTCGTGGGCTTCGCTGCGAAGGACGCCTCGATCCTGGGCTGGAATGACGACTCACTAGGCAAGATCTACATCGGCGACCTCGATGAGAAGGGCTCACCTCAATGTCCGCACAATGCTACCGTGCAGTAGATGAATTCCTTAACGGATGGTCGGAATCTAGTGGATGTGAGACAGAACCATTCGACGTCTCGGTTTGGCCTACACAGGGCATTGGTGGCGGCCTGGGTAACTATTGGGGTCAGCAGGTGGATCTTGATAATATGCTGGAGCACATTGACGACGAAGAACTTGAGATCGTCTCACATGAAATGGGTCATGGCTTCGCTCTTCCGGATTTCTACCAGGAGACCAAACCAGACAACTTTAAGCCATGCCTCATGGACGCAACCACATCGTCCAAGGTGACGGACACGGACGGTTGGATGCTGCGCCGCGTGCTCGAGTACAAGAAGCGCAACTACAACTTTTAGAAATGCAAGTAGGTGATGCATGTGTCATTTTCGCCCTCTTGAAGAAGACGAAATTTTTTTCTTGTGCTGGCCCCGATTTAAGGACAGGAATAAGTTTTGTGTTCTGAGTTACACTTGATATTGCCTAAAATTATGCAGCTTATGTTTACTAACTATTAGGTAGAACCCTGGGCGGCCTAACTTACGCCCTTAGAGAATTTAATATGTAATATTAAAATATGTATTATTTCTTTCAAGTTTTTTTAATAAAAAAAGCTTTTTTCTAAGTTTTCCGCAATTACCGGTAGCCGGAAATAAAAAAACTGAAGCAATATAAAAAATATGGTCTAGAGGGGACCAATTAATTTGACCAATGAGCGTGCACTAACATGTAAACCATATCAACTTTAAGAATCCAAAGTTGACTCAACATCTATTAGTGCAGTTTGGTGAGAGATGCGGGTGCCGAGTGCGCGGCGTTTCATGACGGCGCTATGCGTGCTACTGCTAGCCGGCAAGGGCGCGCAGAAGCTGCGCCTATTTGTGGCGTCGATGCTGGCGAAGTTTCGCGCTCTCACGGCGACTGGATCACCCACCACACCGGCCTGGCGACTATTCAGTGTCTTCCTGGGCGATCTAAAGGACCACCGCGTTGGTAAAGTGCTGCTTGCAGGAGACCACTGCATCGTACAGGCTAAAGATGGCGCTGAATCTTACAAGTACGTAGTAAAAAGTATCTTTGGGGAAGATATAAAATCTGACAATCTGTGGTGTCCAATGTGCCTTATAGAGTGCTGGTGCCGCCAAGAACGGAGAACACCTACATTCTCGACGCGTTAGTGCGTTCAGGAGTGGCTTTCGGCTCCGTGCCACCATCTACAAGCAGCAAACTACTACCTGTAGCCATCGCCCTGATGCCCTTCCTATACTTGGGACTTACATACAAGATGCTGCGTGGGATGTACGGCCCCGACGCTGGAGCAGTGGGTAAAGATGGCACCAAGAAGGTGCGTAAACAGCAAGAAACCGAGCGCATCTCGTTCGATGACGTGGCCGGCATCGACGGCGCCAGGAAGGAGTTAGAGGAGGTTGTAGATTTCCTAAGACACCCGACCAGATACCACGCTATTGGAGCTAAAGTGCCTAAAGGAGTGCTACTCTGTGGGCCTTCAGGAACCGGTAAAACACTGCTGGCTCGAGCGGTGGCTTCAGAAGCCGGAGTAGCGTTCCTGTTCTGCTCAGCATCGGACTTTGTCGAGATGCTAGTAGGTCGAGGCGCTGCTCGAGTGCGAGATCTCTTCACCCAGGCCTCCCAGTATCCGCAATGTATCATTTTTATCGACGAGATTGACGCCTTAGCTAAAGCGCGTGGAGGTCTGAATTCGAATGACGAACGGGAGCAAACATTGAACCAATTATTGACCGAGATGGACGGCTTTGAAGGGAATGTGAACGGAGTTATCGTGATTGCCGCGACGAATCGCCCAGAGGTGCTGGACCCAGCGTTATGTCGTCCTGGCCGCTTCGATCGCCATGTGTATGTGGGGTTTCCGGATGCCAAGGGACGTCAAGAGATCCTAGAAGTGCATTGTCGTAACGTCAAACTTGATAGTGAAGTGGATCTTGCGGTCGTTGCAGAGCAGTGTGGACCCATGGGTCAACGCTCGGGGGCTCAGCTTGCCAGTCTCGTCAATGAAGCTGCGTTGCTAGCTGTACGTCATGGAGACACTAGTATCAAGTATACGCACTTTGAACAAGCAATGAACCGCGCCTTTGCCTCGCAGACACGTAATATTGCGGGGTCGTCGTTCGAGTTCGCAATGGAGGAGGCGTAGATTGTCAGAGCTTATCAAAAATGCTTATTCGATCAAATGCAGTATAAGCGATTTCTTAAACGGTACTACGTGAAGAACGACGCTATTAAATGCGTTACTTGAAGCTGTAGCGATCTCGGATGCTCTCGTATGCGCGACGAAACATCCATCCGTCTGTATCCGTGATAGTCATCGAGCTACCGGCCATCATGATAGCCGGGGCCATGCCTTTCGCAGGCTTATCAGCGTCCTCATAGAAGTCCGGAAGACCGAAGCCATGACCGATTTCGTGAGCCACAATGTGGAGAATCTCCTCGTCTATGTTCTGTATCATGCTCTCGAGATTCACTTCCTGGCCCCAATCGTAGCCAAGGCCGCCTTCGAGACCTTGTTTCGGCCAAAGCGACAAGCCGAACGGCTCACCCTCACATGCACTCGTGTCCGACCAGGTTCTAGGACCGTTATCGAAGAAATCGTAGCAGGTTTGAGGGCATCGTGGAACACCCTCAGGGTCCAAGTCCCCGGCATAGATCTTACCGAGCGAGTCATCTTTCCAATCCAACAAAGACGCCTCCTTGACAGCAAAGCCAACCATATTGACCTTAATCTCGTCGTACGGCCAGCAGCCGTAGCCGATCAGCCAACGGTTCCATGCAGCGTATTGACGCTCCAACATGGCCTTGAACTTGGAGGCCACAGTCTTGGAAAGTTTCTGCGTACTGTCCCATCGCACACAGTAGTTGAGTGTACCCTTGTTCTTGACAATGTGGTCGAAGATCCAGTTCTTGTTGCTCGTCTGGTTAACACCCATGCGGTTCTCGAAAATCCAATTTACGTCTTTGGTGCTGATAGTGCTCGAGTCCGGATCACCGATGACGCACCCTCCGGATTTGGACGTCACCTTTCCGAATGGAGCATGGTCAGCGGAACTTGAAGACGTCTGCGTCGCGTCGGAGCCTCCTTGTGTCGGTTCCGGGTCTTCCTGCGTCGTTGAGGACGCTGTGTTAGAGGACTGAGCCGTGGTTGACGACGAGGCGGTATTTGAGGATGATTCCGTATTTGAGGATGACTCAGTGTTAGAAGAGGACGTCGTCGGAGGGATTTGAGGGCCTTGGTCACCTGTTCCACTAGACTCCATCGAGGTCGTAGGAGTAGGCTCTTCTATCCCTCCTGGTGCAGGCGTGTCTGGTTCGTCAGATTCACTAGAGGTAGCTGGAGCTGTTGTGGCGGTTGGGGTGGTGTTTGAGGATCCCTCCGTCGAAGTCGGCACAGTCGGCTCCTCTTCGTCGGATCCACTGCACTCCAGACTGTAGTCGTTGTCAGGGCTCTCCCCCTCGCCTGAATCACTGCACTCGAGACTCATATCGTAGCCAGGAGACTCACCGCCTTCGCTTAAGCCGCTGCAGTCAACGCCCAGAGTTTCGTCGTCGCCACTGGAGTCACCGGTTGAAGGCGGTTCGGCGTTAGATGAAGGCAGCGACCATCCTTGGTCTCCTGTTCCGCCGTCTTGGCCACTTGTCGCTTGGTTTCCGGTATCACTCGAGGTTGGTGAAGCCCAACCTTGATCACCACTTCCTGACGGTGGCGCCCAACCGCTGTTTCCGCTACCACTTGAGGCAGACGGAGTCCAACCTTGATCACCACTTTCCCCTGACGCCGGTGGGGCCCAACCGTTGTTTCCGCTACCACTTGAGGTGGGTGGCGTCCAGTCCTGGTTACCGGTGCCACTCGATTGTCCGCTGGTCGGTGTCCACACTGAAGGGGTGTCTGGCATCGTGGGCTGCGACCAAGTTTGGCTACTTCCACTTGTCTGGCCACTACCCGCCAAATAAACCGAAGGGGTGTCCGGCGTTGTCGGTTGAGACCAGCCTCCGCTACCGCTTGAGGTGACCATTGGAGGCGTATTGGGGGCACTGTTTGAGGAGGCCTCATACTGCATTGGAGAATCGTAATTTTTTCCGAAGCCACTCGCTCCAGTCGCGGCATTCGACGCAGGTGTTTCGCCTCCTGGAGCTACAGTTCCTGCAGTCTGACTGACATCATTCTGGCCGCTGAAGTCGATGGCGTAGGATGTAGCAGCTAGAGTAGCCGTAAGCAATACACGTCCTGGAAAGCGGATAAGTATCATCCCCAGACAGAGGCGATGATCTCTTGGCAACAAGAAAAAAATTAATGGACTGAAGACTTGAATTTTACTGCGTTTACTGTCGTACGGTACGACTCGTACCTAATCACGGAAATCCCATCAATCCTAGTCGCTCTCGCTGTTCGTCACACGATTGGACGAGAAAGACTGGGCAAATTGTGAAGATAATTGTGGCTGCTGATAACCAGAGTTGAAAAGACTTATCTTCTCGGCGCCCACCTTTACAACAATCGGCCAGGATGGGCTGCCGCAGTGTTGCCAACACTAATCCAACACTGGTATATTGTGCCGCGGCTTTATTTTCGGCTATTCGATAAAGCCGAAATAAAGCCGATCGGCTTTATAAAAAGCCGCGGCTTTTGCATCCGGACGGCTGTAGAAGCGTCTGTCATTTATCCGGACGAATCCGGACAGTCACGGCAAACATTGTGCCTTCAATTCTTTGTCGTCATAGGGGATGAACTGCGCGCCACTATGGATGATCTGCAGATGATCGAGGCCGCCCAACAGAGCTGGACAAACTGCAGAGTGAATACGACCGTGATTTTGTGGATTTAAGAGGCGAAATTGAGAACGAACGACTGCGTCTGGAGGCTAAAATCCGAGAGAATTTGGCAGCTAAACGTCGGCAACGAGCAGCAGTGGAGAAGTCAAATGACAGTGGAATTACGAGTGACATCATTGAAAAGGAGGATGGAAATGCTCTAGAAGAAAAACAGGGCGTTCTAGTTGCTGATTTTACAAATAAAGCGATAAAAAAATCTACGAGAAAGCACTTTAAATGACAAAAAGCAGTCGAAGTTCAGAAGAAACAAGCGACAGTCGCTGTGGCTGTAGCAGACGCTCTAATAGCGCTCTTAGATGAGCTGGAGAGTGGCAAAACGCTTGAAGAAGCTGGTGGAGAGACGACAGCTGCATTGATGACGCCTCGTAGTCGAGCGGAGCTGACGGGAGAGCTTCAGGAGACTCTGGCGAGTCAAATCCCGCTCTAATCGAGTATCAATCCCAGGAAATGTTTGATAAACTGCATGCCGACTGCGTTTTGGCTTGCTCTGAGACGGAAACTGCAACTGTGATTTTCTGCGTGCTCAGCGCTGAGCTCAAGAAGAATCGCTACGTCGGCGTCTACAGCAGAAACAGCGTAAGAACTCGAGAAAATTGAGAGAAATGGGAAAAGTTCGGATGCTGAAGCTTTAGATGAGTTAGAGAAGAGTTTAAGACAGAGAAGAAGCGTCGACTTGGCCAGTGTAGCCTCGAGTTGGTTGATGGTCTGTCGGTCGTTCTTAAGCTGCGTTTCTTCTTGGAGGATGTGGCCTTTGCGAGATGTGAATACCACCTCCCGGTCGCTTTGGAGCACTGCGAGCTCGCTGCCCTGTTGCTGGATGATTCCCAGCGAGTCCTTCGCCTTCTTCGCCTCGACGTTGAACAGATCACAGACACGTGCAACAAGTGATGGAGATCACGCACTTCCTGCACGAAGCGAAGCAGTTTAGCTTTCTCCTGGTCATTCTAGCGGACACAGAGCTGTCGTTCGCGCTCCCACTCGGCCGCTTGCTCGTCTTTCTCTAGCAGCTATTGGCTCTTTCGATCTCGAAGGTGCTGGCGCTGACGCTCGTGATCCTGTTGGTGCTCAGCCATTTGGGCCTGAAGCCTTCGGATCTCAACCTGTGCCTGCTCGAAGCGATCTCTCTCCTGTAGTAGCAAGGACAAGTGGACTACGGCTCTTCAAGTCACGGTCTAACCGAGCCGGAGACGGAAAACATTCAAATTATCAGCAGCGGTGAGTGACAGTGGTGATGGTGCAGTCTTTTTGACCAGCTGAGGAAATTCAATTCAACTTTCGTCGACAGGCGAGCTACAAAATCGTGTGAAGAATCATAAATCTACAGCGGGGTCAGTGGTGGAGGCTCAACAATTGTTGCCCATGATTTGGCAAAAGTTCACGCTGGGGTTGCTGGTGACTACTGTTGGTTCCTTGACGTGTACGGGGTCAACCGGAATGTCTTCTCTGACGAAAAGAGCGCTTGAATGCTGAACTTCTGCCCACGAATACCAAGTAGTCTGTTTTCCTGAGGAAATGTCCTGACATTCGTCCGAGGAAATTTTGTTGTGTCTGGTGCTGGAATGGGCTCGTCGAACCCGTTGAATACTATTTGATCATCGCCACCGGCTACTGGAAACTCACACACGTCGTTGAAATGATCACCTTCCCATACAGAAGTGTTATCGTCCAGGACGTCGAAGATGTTTTGCCAATACTCAGTCGTGTCCCCTCCTGGAGTTTCCTGGTGTTCGATAAGGTGGATTTCTTCTGTTTCTTCAATTGAAATGGAGGGAGCAGTGTCCCCCGTTGTTGGCTCCTGGTGTTCTACAAGATGCATTACTTCAACACCTTCGGATGGAGCAGTGCCACAATTGTCAATCCGCTCTCTCTCAGTAGCGTCAACAATACGCTTGAGACCCATAGGTTCTTTTTCCTCGCTCTCGGCGCGATCCAACTGCCGGACAGCTTGGCGAACAAGGGAAAGTTTTCGAGCTTTCTCTGGTTTCATTCTATTGCGCTTAGCGGTATGGATTGCAGCAAGTTCGCTGAAGTACCGCTCACAGGTGGCCGTGTTAACTGCAATGGAGAGGATGACCGCGGCAAGTTTTGGCAGCTTTGAGCTCCGCTTAACATCTCCCGCAAAACTCCAAAACTGACCAACATCTCCATTATAACGGACTAGCGATGGATCCACAAACACCCCTCGATACCAAGCATGGAAATCGGCTAGCAAGCTTTCGATGTCGTGCTCATCGTCTTTTGCGACAAGCCGCCGATAGTAATAAATACCATAACCACACAATCGTTCCAGAAGCCGTAGCTGAGGTGCTTCTTCATGCATCGCTGCTGCTACTTGTACATAATGAGGATGTAGGAAAAGTGCTAGAAGAATTAAAGGCTGTTCACACTTCTGCCACCTCCTCTCCACAAGTGAAACTAGCTCCAAATCAATCAAGTTACCGAGGAATCCACGGTAGATATCCCTATAAGATATTAGAACATCCGCCAGTGTGCTCTCATCGCGTTGTAGCTTGTATGACGCATTAGAAAGCGGACGAATGACCGCTTCTGCAGACTTCAGTTTTTCCCAAAAGCTGTCATCTTTAAAAACGAGAAGTGGCTGCGTAAAATCCTGATTGTCTTCGTACTTAGCCGTAAATTGACGAAGAGCGCGCAACAGTGATGCGAAGCACCCTTGCATGCTGTTCCAGCGGGTTTCACACAGATTAATAAAGCCCAATGATTTTCCGTATGTGCTAGATACAAGAGCTTGGGCTCTTACTAACCACTTGGAAGATGACGCATTCAGCGTTACCGTAGTAAGGGATGCTTGCTTTGTCAGTGTTCGAAATGACGTGTTTAAAACCGATTTAACCAAGTTGTTAATATCGTGAGCGAAGCAGTGAATAAAGGCAATACGAGGATGACGGAGCGCTAAAATGCGCCGAGCTCGATCACACTGTCCAGCATCATCACTTACAACCGCTCCAATTTCACACCCTTTTGCAGTTACATCCTTCATCACAGACTCCATTTGCTCTCCAATTGCGAGTCGAAAATAGTCCAAAAGTAAAGATAGTACCGAAAATGGCTAGCATGCACCCCAAAAGATGCATTTTGGCAACGTTTTGCCATACGTCCGACAAAACATTTAAACGACCACCACTGAAAGTCACCCTATGCTTGAGAGCGACCAGTTGCTCTTCTTCTTCCACACGACTGTATTTGTCGAGGATCCGAGTCAATTCCTTTCTTTTTGGAAAGGCGGTTGCACAGGTCCTATTAAGAAACATGAACAGGCGCACTGTAGAACCTTTCTCACTGGTAAACAGTTGTCAGCTTGAAACTGGACGAGCAATCGCTCGAACTCTTCTTGCTTCTCCTCCGTAAATATATTGTCAAAATATTCACGGATGTAGCGCTGACGCTTGTCAGAGCTTGTTGTAGAAGTTTCTACACGCTCGTTTGCCACAGAAAGTTGACGTTTGAAGCCGTTTATAACGTCTGGCACGACTTGAGGCAGCTGGACACAGCCACTTTTAAGAGCTTCTTGGTAGGACTGACAGGTCTTGAGGTGATTTTGTAAACGTAGTTGAACGTGCAGATACAACTTTAGGGCGCTCTTGTGTCACCTTCGTATTGTATGCTAACAAACAGTGCTTACACACTAGTTGTTGTCTGTTATTCTGTTTGGGTAGCCCAATATCTTGAAACTGCTGTCGCTCATATTTGGGAGCACGTCCCATCTCGTGCCTGGCCAGAAGTTCGGACGCACGTTTGACGCTGGAAGGAAGTCTGCAGCTAGTGTCTTGTGTAAAAAGGAAGGGGGGGATCCTCAGTGAAAGTACCGTATCGCAATCCTATACCCAGCACCAACGCATATACAAAATTTCATCCGGGGGACGTATACGGTGGCGTAAACAAATGTAGCCATTCGGCTTTACCGCTCAGATATCGGCTTTATTTTCGGCTTTATAGATGTAGCCATCGGCTTTATTTTGCAAATCGCCGCTGAGTGGGAGAATGGATAAAGCCGAAAAAATCGGCTTTATCCAGAATGGCGTTAGTGCACCCTTAACTAACGACAGGCTTGGAGCACCTTTAAGCCACTTGGGCGCCCTTAACTGCAAGCGTTAGGGCGCCCTAAAGCCTTGGGCGCCCTTTTCGCTAAGAATAAATAACCGTATTTTAAAAAATTGATGCGAAGTATCACCATAAGCGTTATTGTCAATCTTGTCGGAGATGAAGAAACGCATTAACACATAAGAAGAAGAAGACGAAAAGCACAAGTAGGAAAGGAAAAGCGATATATATATATATATTGGTTAACAAAACCACGAATGGCTACAAGATTATTGTGGAAGCAGCATCTTACTAACCTCTTGGTCCGTCTTCTGCTTTTCCGTCAATTTTTTCTCACTGTGTGGCACCAGCTTCATCGTGCACAGCAACAACCAGGCTAGTCTTAAGCCGCATCACGCTTACATAAGCTTCTGTCACCCGATGGCGTTCAAATCGATGGGTGTTGCGCAAGTGTGCGTACACAATACCCCGGACCATTACTCCACAGCTTTTTAAATCAGGTTGTGAGGGCTTGTCGATCCACTTCGCGATAATTTCCTAAGGAAAAAGCTCTTTTGCTCCGCAGGCACTGTGCCATTTCTCCAGTTATGACAGCAAATGAATTTTCCATCATCTTCCAGTTCTTTTCAGTAGCACTCCTGGTGTAGCGGCTCATAAAAATACACCTTCAGTACATGTACTGTCGGAAACTGCTGTCGTGGTGGGGAATTGGAAAGTGAATTGATGAATTAGACTAAGTGCACTATGTTAAGCTAGAGGAGCGTATACGCTAACAGAAACGCGATCTATACAATAATAAACCCCCAGTGGTTCGAGCTTAAATTTATGGGCATAACCACAAAAGGTGGTTCTCTGATAACCGCTGTCTTGGTGGTTCAGGCCACCCAATAGCCAATGTCAGCGAAGAAAATGCGATGCAGCCGTCCATACTTTCTGCAATCATTCTGATTTTTCGAAATCAATCACGGCGTCGTTCAGCAATCCGCTGCGTAGAACTCCAGAGACAACGTCAAAAAATACGATGGCCGTCGTGTTGATTCTGCATTTGCGACAGATTTCGTCGTGAAAGTGGCGCGCCGATTCAAAGACACGTGAGAAGGGAATTCATATACGTATAAAAGCTTAGAGTTATACATAAAAACGGTCTTCGTAGTAGTGTAACTTTACCTATCTCGTGGAGTATGGCATCTAGCGCCTCACTTGAATCGCTTAGATAGTCGAAGTGTCTTCGTCACTGCCATCGTTACCAGAGGAAGAACAAACGTCCAGCACAGTGACGCCGGGCGCGCCCTCGCTCTCGTCATCTTTAGCACTGGCGCGCTTAAGAACTCGTACGTGGATTTTTGTTGTGATCAACAAAACCACTGGCTATCAGACTCGAAATTATCTGAGAGTAACGGTACTTGATGGTAATTTATTTGGGAATATATTTCTCACGAAACCTAAAATTTGTGAAAATATTGTTAGGGCGCCGAGCATTAAGAAAGGGCTATCCGTGCATGGCAATAATCGTGGCTGATTGGCTAAAACCAATATGTGTAGTCTGGTTTGAGAAAACATTTTGGGGCTGGCTCGCTGTACTGTACCTGTTTTGGTACCTGTTTTCAAAATGGTACAAAAATAGGGCTTTTAATCGGTGAAATCCGCTACCGTAAAATTCGGTTTTAGTAATAGTGAGACACTTGTACAGTAAACGCTCTTTGTCAAATGAAACGTGAACATAAAATTGGAGCAATATTGCTGATAGCAAGTGACTTTTGTAAACTGCCCCATTTACACTCAATCACGGTAAGAAGTAAAGGAATTGTGTGAATTTTTGCCCATTCAGATACCATAACTTTGTTATTATTCTGGTTATTTCTAAAGAAAGCATTCATAAGCAAAAACAAATAGTACTTAAGTAGCAGTGTACTCATATCAAATGCTAGACAAAATATGTCTAGCATAGTGTTCATTTAATGAACACTGTACGATTGTCTTTTAATACAGTGGTAATGACTTTGGACACATCGACTTATTGGCAACAGGACTACAAACAAAATCTCCACCAACCTGCCAGATCACAGTACTGGTACTACGAAGTACCGGTACTAAATCGTCGGTGCTACAAGCATACAGTAGTGTCTATCCATTATCCATATGCTTAGAAGGCGTAGCGAGGCTTCAACTTCTCGAGAGTATTACGCAGCATCCAGCCGTCAACGTCGGTAATGGTTACAGAGCTACCGATTTCGTGCGCCACAATGTGGAGAATCTCCTCGTCAATGTTCTGTACCATGTTCTCGAGATTGACTCCCTGGCCCCAATCGTAGCCAAAGCCGCCTTCGAGACCTTGTTTCGGCCAAAGCGACAGGTCGAACGGCTCATTCTCGCATCCCTTAGTGTCCGACCAGTTCTGAATACCCACATCGTAGAGCCTGTAGCAGGCTGTAGGGCACTGTGGAACTCCATCAGCGTCTAGGTCGCCAGCATAGATCTTACCGAGGTCCAATCAAACAGCGACGCATCCTTGACAGCAAAACCAACCATGTTAATCTTGATCTCGTTGTACGGCCAGCAGCCGTATCCGATCAGCCAACGGCTCCATGCCGCGTATTGACGCTCCAACATGGCCTGGAACTTGGAAGCCACGGTCTTGGAGAGCTTTTCGGTACTGTCCCATCGGACGCAGTAATTGAGCGTACCCTTGTTCTTGACGATGCGGTCCATGATCCAATTCTTGTTCTCCATGACGTTCCAGTTCGCATTGCGTTTGGGTGCGTCGGGACCAATTCGGTTTTCCCAAATCCACGAAATATCGGCCGCACTTACGTATTTGTCGGTGTTGCCGATGACACACTCGCCGGGTTTGGACGTTACCTTTCCGAATGGAGCATGCTCGCTGGTACTAGTGGAGTTCTGCGTGGTATCCGAACCTTCCTGGGTCGCTGAAGACGGCGATGCCGTGGACTGAGTCGTCTTCGTCGTTGAGTCAGCATTGGAGGAAGGGGTAGTGTTTGATGATGACTCCGTGCTAGAAGAGGACGCCGTCGGAGAGATTTGAGTTTCCTGTGACGGGCCTTGGACCGACGTCGCTGGTGCTGCCTCTTCAACCCCTCCGGAAGGCGTCCAAACGTTGTTTCCGTCGCTACTTGGGTAGGGGGGGGGATCCAATCAAGATTACTGGTGCCACTGGAGTGACCACTACTTGGCGTCCAGACCGAAGGTGTATCCGGTGTTGTTGGCTGAGACCAGCCTCCGCTGCCTCTAGAGGTAACAATTGGAGCCGTTACGGGCACAAAGCCAGAGGATGAAGCCTCCCATTGCATTGGGGAGTTGAAGTTCTCTGTAGCGGCATCCGCTGTAGGTGTTTCACCGCCCGGCAAAACGGCGCCTGGAGCCAAACTGTCGTTCGGACGGCTAAAGTCAATGGCGGAAGACGTGACAGCTAAGGTGGCCGAAAGCAGTAGGGCAGATGAGCGTGGAAACCGGTGTGGCGCCATACTTGAAAAATGGACAATGACTTTTGAATAGCTCATGAGGTACGAGTTTACTTACGGTGCGTGTTCACGAGTCAGCTCTGTACATGCATCGTAAAGTAGGTAGGTAAGCGATTAAACATGTAATCTACCCGCTGTTTGCTGTTCGTTCAACGATAATTATATGAAATAACTCTGAAAAAAACTACGTGGATCGAAGACTATGATCAAATAGAATGCAAAACTGAACTAAATCTCGGAGCTAATGGTTGATGGGGTTTTTTAAACTATGGAAAGGAGCCCCCAAAAAATGGAATGTACGTCGCCATGATGAGAGGGTAATAACAGATGTAGCACAGGAAATTGCATCAGTTTAATTGGTTTAGTGCACTTAAAAAGACTCTGTGGTGGCTGATGGTTTGTAACTATTATTCTGGACAGTACTTGTACGCACACGTGAGCTGACGTCGTTTTATAAATCGAGGATATTAAAAGGGATATATCGATCTATTATAGATCGAGTGGCTAATAAATCGAGGCGCTCGTGGTCGTTTATGACAAATCGACATCGATGTCATCTTGGGGTCATTCTCTGTATTTTATTTCCAGAGTTTCCACAGTTCAAGCAGGTGAGTCAATGCTCTACATTGGATTGTCGTATTCAAAATAGTGGGTTTTCTTCTCTAAACGTGTCATTTCAGAAACAGCATTTTTACTTTAATTCAGAAGAATTGTAATGTAAAACTGATCATGCTCTGTACCAGTGATGTCTCCCAGCTTGTGTCGGCCTCGGGTAACATCACTGTAAATTATTGGTCATGGTCACCCGAAACTTGATAATTACGGCTTTCGATATAACAGTAGAGATTTGCTGTGCTATTATCACGAACGTGTGTGATACTATCATGAACATCATCAATTTTAAAGTTCTTTTACAACGTTCTTCGAAATACCCAGGTAAAATACACTGCACGAGCACCACAACACGCAGTTTTCTATCCACTTAAAAGTTATAGCGAGGCTTCAAGTGCTCGAGGACACGACGCAGCATCCAGCCGTCGCTATCCGTGACGGTCATGGAACTACCCGCCATCATGATACAGTTAATCCACTAGTCATTGGGCTTATCCGCTTCCTCGTAAAAGTCAGGAAGTCCGAAACCGTGGCCGATTTCGTGGGCCACGATGACAAGTTGTTCCTCATCGATAGTCTGTAGCATATTCTCCAGATTTACCTCCTGACCCCAGTCGTAGCCAAAGCCGCCTTCGAGACCTTGCTTCGGCCACAAGGAAATATCGAACGGCTCGCCCTTGCACGAACTGGTGTCGGACCATGAGCCGGCACCATTGTCGTAGAATCGGTAACAGCTCTGATCGCATTGCGAAACACCATCCGAGTCGAGATCCGCAACCGTAATCGCGCCAAGAGAATCGTCTGACCAATCAAGCAGCGACGCCTCCTTCACAGCGAAGCCAACGATGTTGATCTTGATCTCGTTATACGGCCAGCAGTCGTAGCCGATAAGCCAGTGGTTCCACGCTGCGTACTGACGCTCAAGCATGGCTTTGAACTTGGAAGCCACGGTCTTGGAGAGCGTTTTAGTACTGTCCCATCGGACACAGTAGTTGAGTGTACCCTTGTTCTTGACGATGTTGTCCATGATCCAGTTTTTGTTGTCCATGACGTTCCAATTGGCGTCGCGTGTTGGGGCATCGGGACCAATTCGGTTTTCCCAAATCCACGAAATATCGGTATTTATCGGGCTTGCCAATGACGCACTCGCCGGGTTTGAACGTCACCGTTCCAAAGGTGGCGTGTTCACCGCTGCTGGTACTGTTAGTGAAGGTTTGGGTGACATCGGAGCCTTCTTGCCGCGAAGATGAAGCGTTAGATTGGGCCGTGTTCGAAGAGGATTCTGGTGACTGCGCTGTGTTGGAGGACGAAGCCACCGACGGAGTCTGAGCTACCTGGGATGAACTCTGGTCGACGACGTCTCCAAACCCGCTTGATGGCGCGGACATCACAGTGTTCGACAACGAGGCTTGGTCACTCATTCCACTGGAGGTGGTAGGAGCTGTGGTGGTTGTAGGAGTCAGGTTCGACGAACCCGATGTTGTAATCGACACGATCGGTTGAGACCCGTCGGTAGTCTCATCCGAGCCGCTACATTCAAGGCTGTAGTCGGTCGTCGGGGTGGCGTTTTCGTCCGAGCCACTACACTCGAGACTGTAATCTATGACCGCGCTACCTCCGTCGATCGAAGCATCAGTAGACGTACGCGGTGTCCAGTCCTGATTACCGTCGCCGCTGCTCGAAGGCGTCCAGGAATTCGAAGCATCAGTAGAAGTAGGTGGTGACCAGCCCTGGTTACCGTCACCACTCCTTGGAGACATCCAAGAGCTAGAAGCATCGGTGGTAGATGGTGTCCAGCCCCGGGACCCACTCACGCTAGAGGGGGCATTGGGGACTACCGCAGGTACATTGTTCGAAGTCGACGCTGTCTGTGTCCACTGGTTTGGGGAGTCATAACTTCCTGTACTCGAAACCTGGGTCTCTCCACCTGGAGCCACTGTTCCTGTGGACTGTGTGATGTCATTCTCGCCAGCGAAGTCAAAGCCGGAAGATGTGACAGCCAAAGTGGCCACAAGGAGCACTGCAAGGATTCGACTTGGTGCCATTTTAGAAGAAACGACAATGACCAATGTGAAATATACGAAACATGCACCATGCCCTCCCCCCTCCCTCTTTCAGCTCATGTGTGCATTTATCGCCTTGGCCTCCTTTACAAAAACGTCACGCCAGATGAAGATCGGTTTGAAACATACTTAAGTAAGCCAACCTCCACTGTTGTGCTCATGTACTGATCTCATCTTTGTGTTCGAAGATAACAGGGCGATTGTCCTTCGCGCAGCCAAATCTTCGTATTTTTTCCAGGGTGAATGAAT